AACTTCTGTTTTGAAACAGGAGAACTGTATGCCTCTTTATACAGGTGGAATTCAATGTCTAAAGCCTTGATTCATGACGCGGAAATAATCGAAGATTTATATAATAAAGAGATAAATAAATTTCGCGAACAGTTTGACGCAAAGTTTCTCGGACTGTTCAATGGATATATGCAATCGCCGTCTAGTTTCTTCAGACCCCTCCAGTTTTAGCAATACGCCAGAAGAAAATAAGAAACTGATTATTCCTAATGCAATTGGAATGCTGGTCTCCAATACCTTGGCTCCGGTAAGTGGGTGCAGTGAGTATAGGACGTGATCGAACAGATTTTTTTCATGTATTCTAAGTCACATATAAATCCGAACACCCAGTTTAAATGGTTTTATTTTAATAAAAGTTGGTGAATGTATTTATCTTACTGTAAATAACAAGTGAAAAATGTTCAGCCTTATCAGTTGGACATTCCGGTTTTTATACTGCTTTTTTTTAATTCACTAGCGCTCTAAAAATGAATATTTCAGCCGCAGTAAAGAATCAACGTTGGCGGATTTTGGTTCTTGACATCCTTTACGATCGGTTACGATGCCTAGAGTACGGAGACCTGTACGATTTCGTCAACTTAATGAGTTTGAAAGGTGCCGTATAGTGGGACTTTGGGAAGCTGGACTTTCTTTTCGGGCAATTGCAGTTAGAGTGCAAAGAAGTGTAGACACTGTGGTTAGGTGTTGTCTGGCATGGCTTCGAGAAGGCCGTACGCAAAGAGCAAGGGGCACTGGACGCCGCCGTAGAACAACAGACCGTGAAGATCGCCGCCTAAGATTATTGGCCTTAAGGGATCGTTTCTCCACTACCAGGTCCATTGCAAATGAGTGGTTTGCAGGACACGGAAGACCTATTGGCATGCGAAGTGTTTACCGACGAATGAGAACTTTTGGCTTGTTTTCATACCGGCCACACTGGGTCCTCCTTTTAACTCGAGAACACCGACGTAATCGCCTTGAGTGGTGCAGACAACGGTCACTCTGGGATCAGGAATGGAACAGTATTGTCTTTAGTGACGACTCTCGATTTTGTTTAGGCATGCACGATGGTCGTGCCAGGGTTAGAAGGCGACGTGGTGAAAGGACGAATCCACAGTTTTTTGTTGAAAGACATGTTCATCACACTGTTGGAGTTATGGTTTGGGGTGCTATAGCTTATGGTTCCAGGTCACCTTTAATCTTCATCAGAGGTAACATGAACGCGCACCGTTATATCCACGAAGTTCTAGAACCCCATCTTTTACCCTATCTTGACACCCTGGCAGATCCAACTTTCCAACAAGATAATGCCCGACCACATGTTGCAAGAGTCACAATAGACTTCTTTCAACATAATGATGTCACATTGTTACCATGGCCACCAAGATCTCCCGACTTATCCCCAATTGAGCACGTGTGGGATATGATGGGTAGGAGATTGCTCAATTTGCAACGTCCTCCTCAGACTCTAGAAGCACTTCGAGAGGAGTTGGTGGTTGCCTGGAATGAGATACCACAGGAGGACATTGACCACCTGATCAGACGCATGCCTAGGCGCGTTGGAGAGTGCGTAGCACATCAGGGTGCATCCACACATTATTAAAGGTCAAAGGGCTTTAAAGCAGTGCAATCATTTTGAAATTTTTATCATTTACTTATTATGCTTCATTAAGTACTTATACGAAATTTTATTAAAATAAAACCATTTAAACTGGGTGTTCGGATTTATATGTCACTTAGTATATTTACAATCACGCATCTGCTTCTTACAGCTCGGATTCAGAACAGGTTATGTAACAATTTATTTGCTCGTTGATTTATTCCTTCTTTCAGAAATCAACGTTTATAAAGTTTGTAAGTAGAAGTATAATCATTTTCTTGTTTGTTATGTTAAAAATATAATATTTCTGTGTTGTTTCAACGAATCTTCTTGATTAGGCAGTCACTAGAATCAGATTTATTTCAAGGATCCGGCTCCGTATCAGATTCGCCATATTGAATCTCTGTTTTTTTTGTGGCGGCACATTTGAAATCGGTGACCTCATTAATCCTTCTGTACCAAATTTCGTAAGGATGCTATTGCCAGCTTTTTAGATGTTCTATCTCCAAACTGGTTGTATTTTGCACCACAGATGGCGCCGGTAGCCTACAAAAAAGAACAGGAAAAGTAATAGAAATCACGACCATAGTAATAGGTAACATTTATAACGATTGCATACCCTATTTCACGAGTGTCCATCACACTTTGACGTCTACTGAGGTGAACAGCTGAGCAGCAAGTCTACTATGTTGGCAATAATGAGCCAGGTGTAAATCTAGTAAAACTTGTCTGTAGCGTTTTGTTTTGGGTATGCAAATGAACTGTTCTAAATAAAAGAGCTGTTAGTTAGTTAGTTAAAATGAATCTGTGGCGTACAAACAACAGAACAAAATATCGCTCTGTCTACCTGGCATTGACGGATCCGTCAGAATTATGTCCTTTACCGATTTGGGGAATTTTGAAATATTACTACGTATTCAGCTGTCATTCTACCGTAATGGATACTAGTGAAAAAGACTATAATAGTGTTGGCTATTTCGCGCCCGAATTGAATACAAATGTACTTCATAGCCATTTTCCCCGAATGTAGGTTCTTTGTCCTCATTTCTAACCATACGTAGGTGTTTTGCGATACACCATCAAACCCTTTGCTTTCCCAAAATATCTGGTTCAGTATCAGGCGACCCCAATAAATCTACCACGGGTTAATCGTACGATGGTTGCGTTCGGGGAATCAGGACGATAAACTAAAGGGAAGGGAGGGATTTCATCTCAGATTTGGCCAGAAGGGAACGACACGACGACGAGGAAGGACTTGATTTATAATCAGCTTGGTCAGCAGAAGATTACTATTACTATTACCGGCAGTCGACGCGACTAAAAGGTGTGCAGTCAGTCGCAAATTGTCTACCTCGTTTTATTGAACTTTTGGTTGGCCATAGGCGGCACATAATGTTTCGTGAGCAGATATTGCGCTGGGTGCACTGAGGATTGTCTGAGTGATTGTCACGTTTGATACAAAGTATTCAAGCAAAAATTAATAAACTAAGTTTGTCCAGTGACATGGAATAAAACGGTTTTTATTTTTTTCTCGAACACGAATTGAAATACGAAATAAATACAGAAAGCAAAGAAGTTGTATTTTTAGATGCTTATTCAAACAACAGATACTAAAGTTACAAAAAAGGCAGTGTTTTTGACAATAATATTCGCTAAGATGCCCTCCAGGATGCCACTGGTCCAATAATTTTAATCTGGACTAAATTAGCCTCTTAATACAACAAATGATACTGCCAAATTTCAACAGAATTGAGTAAATATTTTTTAAGATAATAAAAAAATATTTTTTTCTGTTTACCACCCTGTATCATGATTTCGGTAACTGTCAAAAATACAAAGTCGCTAAAATAAGGGAAACATTGCGTGTTGAGGTATCTTACAATATGCTGCTTAGAAAGTTTCAAATTCAAAGTACTTCCGGAGAGAGACTGACAAAAAAACGAATTCTCCCAAAATATGTTGTGATTCTTTTAATACATTGTTTCATTTGGCTCTCTCTCTGTGTGTACTGTTACTCAAATTTCGTTGTTAGATTCTCCTTTTGTGGTGGTCAAGGAAAACAAGCTCCGACTAACATCTCTGAGAGTTGTGGCTTAATCCGTCCTAAGTCACTGGCGCTCTTAACCCCCCCCCCCTACTCTCCGCTTTATTGAGCTAGGGTCTGAATTTGCACGCCACTAGGCAACTGTTTTACTTGGACCAACCGTTAGATAGTACTTATCATTGTGTTTTATTAATTAACCAAAAAAAGGCGTGGCAACCCTATATAGCAACAGTATTGTAGAACCAACCACATTTGTGTGCATTACGCTCCGATAACACTACATTCACCTTTATTCAGATATTGTAGACTATCGCATTGCATTACATCGCAGGAAAAGCTGTATCGATCACTCATCCATAGCACCACTAACGACACAAGCATAAACACATTCAGCCCAAGTTCCTGCCTGTACACAGATAATTCCAGTTTACCTCAAGTCAAGGCACATACATAAGTACCATATACTAGGCGAGGACGTGACGTCACGAGCCTGAAGTGGAATTCAGCCCGCGGCACGATAGCATAATAATCAAATAATACCCAGCTCTCGATACTCCACCGGTAACTAGACTCCATACTCCATATGGTTCGATAATGCTACACTACGCTGCCTAACTGGTATCAAGTAGGTTATTTTGAAGCGAGAATGAGATGTTGATTAGCAATCGACTTTCCAAGAAAGACTAACTTAGGGCCAATTTCACCAACAACAGTCCGTTATTCTCAACCTATAGGGAAACAGACCGTCAGATACAGCGAATGAGCTTCACGTTCCAATCAACAAATTTTAGCAACCAATAGCTACGAAATGTTGAAAACGAAATACTGTCAAAGTATGAGATGAAACATCATTGAAACATCACCAGCTTATTGAATATTAAGAAATTAGATGTAATTCAGTCAAAATTTTAAGAAATGTTTGATTTTTGAATTAAATTCATGTTTTAATTACTATTGTTGATTTTTATTCATGTTTATATTATTTTCTTCAATTGATGTGCGATGCTGGGTGGTTTTTCCTATAAACCTCCTGCAGATTGCCATTAAGCACCTACTTGACTTGATGAAAGGCTCTACCAAAAGATATTGCTCGTTTCCAAACATTCATTCATTTACTTGCCGTTCATCAGAACCATTATGGCACCTTAGATTTATATTCCCACAAACCATTCAGGCTTTTTGATATCCATACATCCATAAAGTTGAATATTTTTCGTTGTTCAGGAACTGAACAAACATCCACACTATATTAACAGCGATTAAGAAATTCCCAAATATATCACATATAATTTACTAATTTTAGTACAACGAATAAAAATCAATAGGCTACCTACTTATCTACTAAAAAGGCTGGTACTACGTGGGGATTTCAATTACAGGAATCTCAGACATAACTCTGACTTCAATATACCTAGTTATAGGAGCGACATTTTCCATCGTAGCTTCACCTACAACGCTGTCAAGGTGTATAATAGTCTTAATGACAATTACAAAAAAAAGGGAATACTTGCATTCAAGAGAGCCATTAAGAACCATCTTCCGGGGTCTGCTAGCCAAGCTGGTTGATATATTTTTTTTTTGCCTTTATTGTTTTTTAGCGGGCTATGTAGAATAGATGTACAACATTTTAAGATTAATCTATTTAAGCCCTAATTATTGTATATATTATTTAGTCGATTGCTATTCATTGTTATATCTTTCCTTTTGTATGTGTTCCTGCGCTGTGAGGTTAAGTGGAAGAGTAGCCAGCTGGCTAAACTTCGCCTCGCAGTGTGGATGGATTGATAAAGACATTATTATTATTATTATTATTATATGCCTTAAAGCTTTTGTAAAAGAGCATCCCCAATACCCCCAAAAAATTAATTTATGGGCAGGCATTTTAGGAAACTAAGTGGTTGGGCCATTGTTTATTAATGGAAATTTGCATGGAGACATTTATTTGGATATGTTGGAAAATACCATCAATCCGCTTATCACTGAAACAACTGAAAACCAAATCGAAGAGGATGGAAACCCTATACTTGAGGAGGTTGCAATATATTTTCAGCAAGACAGCGCACCTCCTCACTTTGTTCTTCCGGTTCGGCAATAGCTAGACGATGAGTATCCAGATAAATTGATAGGGCGAAGAGGCCCTACTGAATGGCCTGCTATATCTCCTGATTTGACACTGTTAGACTTTTTTCGATGGGGTCATTTGAAATCTATTGTGTTTACTCCCCAACCTGAAAGTTAGAATGAACTTCGTCAATGCATCATCGGAAGCCATCATGATATCCCAGAACATGTTTTTGAAAATGTCTGTTAGGAATTTGGATCATCGTTTGGCCAATAGCTGGCAATATTTTGAACACTTATGGTGAGTCGTCAAATGAACGCCCTGTATCTCTTTGGATTTTCTAAAATGTTCGATTTCTCTGGCTTTATTTGTATCTCTTGGATAATGTCGTAAAATACTAAGACCCACTAAAACAAATACAAGGAAAGACAATAGAAAAAAACTGAATCCGATCCTGGAATTTTCAGTTTCCAAAACATACTGGGTTCAATTTGAAGCATTATTTTTTTAAAGGTTGATGATACCAAGTTAATAAACATTGAAATTTTGAGCTTTGTGTCACACAAATTGCTAAAAATTGTACATTTGGATAAATAAAATATTTCCAGCGCTAAATTCTTGTACCCTGTATGCCTAGAAATCTTACAGAGTTTCCAATATTCCAATATTTCGTAATACGTAAAATCAGCAATATCAGGAGAGCATTGAAGTCTCACAAAATGTGGTTGTGGCACAACAACAACACACCCTTCAACAGAAAAGGAGCAAGTATCCGGAAAACCCAATTCCTGCGCTGAGAACCGGAAAACATTCGATGCCACGCTCGGAATGACCTCGCGGACTTTTCACCAACAATGAGTCTTTTTAAGAGCCTTTCACTGTATAGCGGGGTTTCGTATACGTATACGGTATTTTCAGGATGATGGCTTCATTTATAGTGCTTTATCTAAACGGAAGGTAGACAGGGTGTCCACAAAGTTGGGAATTTCCTTTACACGGCGTATAGATCTTGTAAAAATTAGCAGTTTTTTAAGTACCATATAGACGAAAGTCTTAATATCACCGAGATGTTAGGCTCCGCAAAATAAATTAAACCTAATCCGGCCTTGCACTTCGATCAGATGAAGCGTGAATACGGTGCGAATTAGTACTAAATTCTGGTGCTGGCGGCGTTTGTAAACAAAACCTTTACTCATCGGTTCTAAAAAATAAAACAAAAATGGCACTCTCTTACAACAATATCGGAGTTACCTTTATCATTCTAATTTACGGTGAGTGTCTTCGAAATGCTTCCGAGGCTTCGCGAGTGCATGCAGATCGTTTTCCAAAATCCTTCGCAATTTTCGCTATTGTTTTGCTTTGTTATTACAAACGTAGTTGTTTCCGAAAAGGAGTCACTTTCAAGATCCTATATATTAAATCAAGATAAAAGATATTTTAAAATACATTTAATTTGAAAAACTAAAAATACCTCTTTTACACGTTCGACCAGATGGCCAACCGTGTACACGTGTTTCATGTCTTTTGGCAATCACGGTCTAGACAAAGAGTAGATCTTCACTTTCTGGAATGCCTTTATGCTTCACCAGTCGCCCCATCGGCCTTTTGAGTCATCTGGATTTTGGTAGTGAATCCGGTCATTCTGTTACATCATCGTGTAATGATATGATAAAAAGTAGTCAATTCTGAGTTTGGGGTGTAGCATCAAAATACGTAAGATTGCAACCAAAATTTTGCGGTCGGCTTTTGGACTATTACTAGTCTACAAATAAAAACAGCGACCTAAGTGCGGACCTTGGCTACCGAGGCGGTGTTGCCAAGCTGCTATAAAATATTTATAAAATGCTACACTTATACTAAGCTGACTGGAGTAAAGCCTTTTTCGCGGTGTTTGATGGTTAGGTCGAAAAGTCATACAATCAATAAACATATGGTCTTGAGGATAGGCTGTCTAGATTACATTCGACCTTGTCAAATAGACCGATGGTTCGTCAAATAAGCAATTTCAGGTTGTAAACTAAAGGTTCAATAGCTATGCGCTAACTTACAGGCTTTGAGAACAGCTTCTCTCGTGAAAAGTGTGATTTAAGACTACTGAATGAAACATATGGGTTGGGTTGATACCAATAGGGTTTGATTCACTTGAGCGCCAGCAGATGGGGTATCAAGTAGCTTGAAAAAACATTAGACCTGGGTAGGATTGAATCTGCGTTCAACAGGCGATCCTTAAAGCTAGTTGGCAGCTGGTGCTGTAGACTTTCTGGTAAAGTCGGCTCTATAGAAAGGAGGAGATGCGGGTTTGAGTCCCGCTGGCACCCATTTTCCTTTCTCTCAAGTTGTTGTTTACTAAACATGACTGTCGCCGTTGTAAAAAACACGTATATGATCTTTTTTATCGATTATTTATCGATATTTAATCGTTAATGAGCCCATTACCGGTAACATCTGTTTGCATGTACTATCGTACAGGTAGTCACTTTGATAGGAAATGGTAGTCAAACGAGTCAAAGGTAGGGACTAAAATTACACAATTTAGGCGAAAATGCAAAGTAAACATATTGAATATTTTAAAAGGAAATTGGAAGGTAATAAGGATTGTAGTGTTTCTTCTTACATGTCGGCTTTCAACGCCGATAGTAAAACGGCTCTTGAAGCATCATTTCGAGCTAGTTACAAAATCGCAAGATCTGGAAAAGCATACAGTGGCAGAAAACTTGATCGGACTTTGTACTGAAGACATCGCAATGTGTATGCTTGGGAAAAAGCAGCAAAAAATTGACCTTGTGCCCTTATTAAACAGCACAGTGTTACGGAGAATTAACTGTTTCTCGAACAGGGTTGATGGTTAACTTTTGAAAAGAATAAAATTGAATTATTTTGCTATTCAGCTTGACGAGTGGACCGATGTAGAAAACTGTGCAATATTGCTCATGTATGTTAGACATATTTTTAAGAATTCCATTCAGGAAGCTGTGTTATTTGCAAGACCAGTGGAAACGACTAGTGCAGCAAGTTGTTATCTGATCAATGACTATTTTGAAAACATGAGATCCACTGATCACTTAGCTTAGGTGTATGCACAGATGGTTCAGAATCCATGACTGGAACATATTCTGGTCTTGTTCTTGTTCCTGCAGAGTTAGCCAGTACTTTAAGCGAAGCTGTAAAAGTTGTGAAATTTACAAAGTCCCGTGCTACAAATTCCCGTCTATTCCGTGTACTTTGTGGGGACTTGGGAAGTCACCACGTCCCTTTATTACTTCATACAGAAGTTAGGTGGCTTTCTCATGACAAAGCTTTGACCCGCTTGTTTGAATTGAAGTCTGAAGTTCAGGCATTTTTTCCTAACCATCCATTTCATTTGTCCGCTTCTGTATCCGACATTATGAATCTCCAAAAACTCCTGGCTCAATGTAAAAAATGAATACCCTATCTTAGCAGAAAAAGCCATGAAAATTTTGTTACCATTCTGCACAAAGTATCTGTGTGAGAAAGGATTTTCAACGTTCACTTACATACATAAAAGATAAGTACAGAAATAGATTAAATGCAGAGCTCGATCTAAGACTTAAGCTTTCAGACATTGAACCAAATTTTGAATTTCTTTGTTCCAACAAACAGGCACAAATATCCCATTGATGATTTTTGCAAGTATCGAATTACTTGTATTCATATTATATTTATACTTTTTTTTTTGTAATGCTTAGTTGGTTTTTCTCCAAATGTTTTACGTTACAGTTATGTTTTAATTTACTTTGCTCTTTATAACTATTATTCATATGATTCATAAATTTTGATAACAGCTAAATAGTACTGTTTTATTTACCCTCACTAACGACTGCTCAGGGTTTCGCCGATATACAGGGTTATCCAAATTAAGTGTCCACCATTAGTAACTTTGTTATTAGTGAAAATACAAAGTTGTTTGAATTAGCAAACTAGTAGCATTTTTAACGCTGGTAAAAACGAGAAATAAAAAAAAACAATTGAGAGTCGTTATTTTGATTTTTTTCAGTAAAATAACATTTTTTTAAATGGAAACCCCTGTATATTATATTTTTTTCTGTTAAAGCATCAAATTTTAAACAAAAAAGTTCATAATGACTTTTCCGCTAAAGTCAAAAATAAAGTCAAAATAACGATAAATATTTTTAATTATTTGCAGTATTATAATATTAAGACGGCTATGAAAACAACATGGCGTTCGCGATTTGACAGCATTAAGATAAGCGACAAATTGTTAAACTGGACATACTCGCAACTAGAAGGCTTTGGAAAACAATGATAAAATCAAATAATGTCAAACATTAGTGTAAATACTTGTTTATAAGCTTTATTGTGTCATTAATTTAAAGAAAAATGTTCTCCCATGAAGAAAAGTGTGATATGTTAGAATGCTATTTAGTGTGCAGAAAATCCTCCTTGAGAGCAAGAGAATACTACAGTGAATTATATCCCGCTCGCATTCAACCGTATGAACGATATTTTCTGAGACTTTATCGAAAATTTAGGGGCAACGAAAATGTTTTTGCTAAAACAAGGGCAAAAAAAGAATTCATAATAAGCGAGGCCACGGAAATTGCAGTTATTGGATATTTTGAAGCTTATCGTGAGAATTCAATAGCAGATATTCTCAAGGACTCTAATTTCAGTTATGGTACTGTTCAAAGGATTTTAAAAAAATAAAAATTTATTCCGTATAAGTACCGACCAGTTCAAACGCTTTTGGCAGGGGATCCAGAGAGAAGACTTGTTTTTTGCCATTGGTATCTTAGCTTCTGTCGCCAAAATGTAAATAACTTTCGTTACCTTTTATGGACAGATGAATCAAATTTTTCAAATTCTGGAATGTTTAATAGAAAAAACCACCATTATTGGTCAAGAGAAAATCTTTTGTTAGTACATCCAAGAGGCCCACAAGTCCGTTTTAGTTTCAACGTTTGGTGCGGTATAATTGGTTCAAAAATTGTTGGCCCGTTCTTTTATGAGGGAACCCTAACTGGTGAAAGATATGTGGAATTTATGTCAGAAATTCTGACTAATTTCTTAGACGAATTGGATCTTATAAGTAGACATCATCTGCATTTTCAGCAAGATGGCGCACCTGCCCACAACTCCAGAGGTACTTATCATTTTCTAAGTACTACTTTTAATGATCAGTGGATAGGAACAAATGGCCCAATACAGTGGCCTCCCAGATCACCAGATCTAAACCCACTTGATTACTTCTTGTGGGGTTACTTAAAGAACCAATTTTACAAGCGAAGGTACGATAACCTTGACGCGTTAAAGACTGCAGTTAGGGAAAAGATAACCCAGATAGATGGTAGGACCATACTTAAGACAGTTCGAGCAGTTGAAAAACGTGCCCAAAAATGTATTGAAGAACAAGGTGGTGTTTTCGAGCATCTTCTTTAAAAAAAATGTTATTGTATTTTGTAAGATTATAAGTTGATGTTGAAAATAAAGTTTGTCGATACAATTTAATTGTTTCAGATTGGAGGCCATAACTTCAACAATTTGTAACCTAGGAGAAAAGTTATTGTAAGCTTTTTTGTTTAAAATTTGATGTTTTAACAGAAAAAAATATAATATACAGGGGTTTCCATTTAAAAAAATGTTATTTTACTGAAAAAAATCAAAATAACGACTCTCAATTGTTTTTTTTTATTTCTCATTTTTACCAGCGTTAAAAATGCTACTAGTTTGCTAATTCAAACAACTTTGTATTTTCACTAATAACAAAGTTACTAAAGGTGGACACTTAATTTGGATAACCCTGTATTCTAATTTTTATAAGGGGTTTGCAGAAAGAAACGGGTTGGGAACCGCTGGTTTAGTCTATGTGAAATTATTCATTCTTTGGTGATATATTCAAAATTGCTTCGTTTAGGACAAATTTAATATTTTATCGATAAGTATATCGACCTACCGGCAATATTGGCCAAATTTCTGATATATGAATCGCCACAAGTCAAGTTCTCCCCAACTCATCCAACAATTTTCGCATGTTTTTATAAAAAACCTACGATCGAATTCCCAACAAAAATACTATTCAGCCTTCGCCTGTCTGTTTAAGAACCATATCTAAGATGAACGACCTTTGGTTTAGACCTAGATCATTTCACCAATTCATAATTTTGGATCAGGTCAGGATGCGAAGCAGAGGAGTATATTGACACTTAAAATAAAGTACAATTTCAACGGTTTGTTAAGAGACATAATAACGAGTACTAGAAAAACGCTACTATCATATACGTGCATGAAGAATAGATTTCACAGATACCACACCATGACCGGAACCCGTATACAGTCGACCCGATTGATAGATTGCTACCTTCTCAGCATCTTGATTATAGTGCAGTTAAGTTGAGAATTTCTATCGTTAATTATGACTGTAAAAGTCGGTCCAGTCTGTCAGTATTACGCTTGAACAACAATACGGAGAGACGTACACATTTGTACTCTTGCTAACTGATACCGAGGCAGGTTAGAGGCATGGTCAAATCCGCCAACTTTTTGCAATCAATATGCTAGTTAACGAAATTTGGTCAATAATACACCTTAATATCTATATAAGACTTATACATTTTTTTCTCAAAAAATCTGAATTTGACATTATGTATACTAAGTGACATATAAATCCGAACACCCAGTTTAAATGGTTTTATTCTAATAAAATTTTGTATAAGTACTTAATGAAGCATAATAAGTAAATGATAAAAATTTCAAAATGATTGCACTGCTTTAAAGCCCTTTGACCTTAAATAATGTGTGGATGCACCCTGATGTGCTTCGCATTCTCTAACGCACCTAGGCATGCTTCTGATCAGGTGGTCAATGTCCTACTGTGGTATCTCATTCCAGGCAACCACCAACTCCTCTCGAAGAGCTTCTAGAGTCTGAGGAGGACGTTGCAAATTGAGCAATCTCCTACCCATCATATCCCACACGTGCTCAATTGGGGATAAGTCGGGAGATCTTGGTGGCCATGGTAACAATGTGACATCATTATGTTGACAGAAGTCTATTGTGACTCTTGCAACATGTGGTCGGGCATTATCTTGTTGGAAAGTTGGATCTGCCAGGGTGTCAAGATAGGGTAAAAGATGGGGTTCTAGAACTTCGTGGATATAACGCTGCGCGTTCATGTTACCTCTGATGAAGATTAAAGGTGACCTGGAACCATAAGCTATAGCACCCCAAACCATAACTCCAACAGTGTGATGAACATGTCTTTCAACAAAAAACTGTGGATTTCTCTTTTCACCACGTCGCCTTCTAACCCTTACACCGACGTAATCGCCTTGAGTGGTGC